TCTTTTAAAACTGGAGGGTTTTGTCCGAGTATGTTCTCACAACATTGAGCAGCGACTGATGAGTGGTAAAACCGGGAACTGTGAACTAGTCAAAATGGTGCTTGAGGACGTGGATCAAAATGGTAAAATCAAAGACAGTAAAATCCTGTCAGTTCGCTATAAAACACAGTTTAATCTTGACTTTCAGTGTTTATTACTGTGTTTATTGGCGTGATGGTTTGGTCATAATAGTTTAACTTTGTCAGTGGGTGAAAAACATGAACAAATTGAACAAAATCTTAAATTTGTTCTTAAACAAGCTTTTCAAAAGAATTTGGTTTAACTGTATAAGCTGTATAAGTATGGAGTTGCTTTGCTATTTTCTGAACTGGTGTAATACATTTTAATCTTTTATTAGGCTATCTGTTGCCTGTGTTGTTACTCTTGTCATATTGTGTGTGATTTTAATTTTAAACACCATTTTGGGTTCATTTAACCCAGCAGTAGGCCTATAGTAAATTTCAAACAATATTTGAATTAAATAAAAGTCCACCATGTTTATTGATATATTACCTTATACATATAATGGATGTATGACCTACTGTATAAACAATCGTTTCAGAGCAATTTGTTGTAGCCACTTACCCTGTAACTACATGGAACAAGGGGGGAACAAGCACCACTTTAATTTACAGCCCGCAAATGTTGGATTTACCCTGTAACTATATGGAACAAGTGGTGAACAAACTCCACTTTAATTTACAGCCCGCAAATGTTGGATTTACCCTGTAACTATATGGAACAAGTGGTGAACAAACTCCACTTTAATTTACAGCCCGCAAATGTTGGATTTACCCTGTAACTACATGGAACAAGGGAGGAACAAGGTGGACTTAAACACAGAAGTGTATATTTGCACAGTAATTACAGAGAAAAATATTGCACTAGTTTTAATTTAATTGTTCTATGGCCAAATTAAACCCTCTACATTTTTTATTTTTATAAAAACACCACAGTATTCATCCACTGAAATACAAATGTATCATGTATTTTTTTCTGCAAACAGCTGGAAAGAGGTACGCTTGTTTTAAGCTGAATTGAACCTGATGGTATATCATGCAAAGTCATTTGGTGATCGTGCTGTTGAAAAGTTGCTGGTGTGACGTTGCTGATATCGACGAATAAGCTTTCATAAGGTAAGTAGACTCGTGAATTATAAATCATAGCAGAAACTTGTTAACTAATTTCACTAGATGTCCAGTATTGTTGTCCAGTAATCTCCATCATGTATCCTTTAATAATAGAATATGTACCCCATGGTTAAAAAATACCTATAGGCCTATAATAAAATATAACATTATAGAAAGTATATTGTCTTTCTAAATCATTCCCAAACATAAGATTGGTGTTTAGGCCATATGTACCATGTAATATTCAAATAGGTACCCCTTAGTTTCAAAATACTTACAGTATAAATGATTTTTAATTTTACAGGTTGTTACCCCTTTATTCCGCAAAGGTCGCATATTATTCCCCTACTTACACGGAGGTACTGAATAGGTACACTATAATTACAAAAAAGTTAGGATGTAACTTCAGTTTACTTACGCAGTTCTTTGCAGGTTGCATATTTGGTTGTTACCCCCTTATTACCCAAACGTAACACATTGTTCCCTTATACCTACACTATACTATAGGTACACTATAATTACAAAAAAGTTAGGATGTAACTTCAGTTTACTTACGCAGTTCTTTGCAGGTTGCATATTTGGTTGTTACCCCCTTATTACCCAAACGTAACACATTGTTCCCTTATACCTACACTATACTATAGGTACACTATAATTACAGAAACGTACACCGTAAATTCAGTATACTTACGTAGTTCTTTGCGGGTTGTGATCTAAAGCGTTACCCAATATGACACTTCCAATCGTGCTGTTGGTCTAAATAACAGCACGAACATGCTAAATAACATCATGCTTTTTACAGCCAAGCTAATATTCAGTACACGAGCACTCAGGAGTGAGGATTTGCTTAAATAAACAGTTCCAATACAGCTGAAACTGTGTGAAGTGATGTGTAAAGCCTAATTGTGTGAAATAAATTCTAAACATAAGAAGAGGAATAACCCAGAGTGTTTCTGCATTCTAGGGTAAAATCATGACCCACATTTTATTAAAAAGATAAACAGAGCCACACTAGCCATGCAGCTAACACACTCTTTAAATATATAATACACAGCTAAAGCTAACCAGCTAGTAGGAAGGTGTCGTATGCAATACGACTTACTGCCCAAAGACAAAGGGCGGCGGGGGAGAATTATACAAAAAACATTTGTATAATTACAAAATCACAGTCTTAACTATTCCTATTGCCAGGCGCGGTTCTGATAGGAGTGATCGAGCCTTACAAAGCGACGCAAACCCCATCACGATGTTTCACAGCACTAACAAGCAGAGAAGGAGAAAGGGAAGCCGCGCAGACCTGAAACAGCACAGTTTGACTCGTATTTTCCAGGAAATGCTTCGTTTCCTACCTCCGGTTCCGTCCGAGTTTTCGTTTAAACTGCCTGAAGAATCATGATGACTGCCCACACAGCCACCCATGGATGTTTTCATGCGCCTCTTCCCCCCTTGGACCCGCTCTGTTTCGGTTTCCCCCCGTCCTCCCTCTCAGCAAGCATATAGATTGACAGGGCGCGGGCATTAGCTGGAGAGAGGCGGGGTGGGTATATGCACACTCGGCTGTGACTAGTGAGCTGCCTGTTCACAAAGCAACCGGAACGCGCATTTATGAGGTTTCAAAAAGCTTTTCCAGGTAGGCAGTTCACTATGTTTTGAGATGCGGCCAATCTCGTCTCTAGTACACACACTGGCAAAGGATTTGAATATGATGAACAAACAGAATACAGTGCCTTTTGAATAGACTATAGGCTATTTTTCAATGTCAAAAAGTGATGGAGTGTACCCAGCAAGCAATTTTGCGTTTAAAAGACGTCTATTGGTATATAGACGTCTTTTGTCTATATACTTTTTGTCTTTTGTCTGTCTAAACACAGCCCAGACGTCTAGGCTAAAACAAGGCTACATTTGGGCTGTCAGTGAAAATTTAATAGACGTCTAATCATAGCCCATGAATAGACTAGTCATCAATTAGACCGCTATTAAACGACTACATATATAGGTATAATAGACGGTGAATATATAGGCTAAAACAAGGCTAAAATTGGGCTGTCAGTGAAAATTTTATAGACGTCTAATCATAGCCCAAGAATAGACTAGTCATCAAGTAGACCACTATTAAACGACTACATATACCTCTAATAGACAACAAAATGGCAATCCATCCAAACAAATTCAATATACAGCTTTTATTAAGAAAAATACAATTTGGACAACTTAAGACAATACAAAATGATAAAAAATACAAAAGAATTAATGACAAAATAAATTTTTATAAATACAATACACTTAAATATAAATATTATGATAAAAAAAATCTGGAATTAAAAAAAAACTTAAGATAATAAAAATATACAAATGAAAATTTTTTATATTTTTATGATATTTAAAAGAAAAAAATCTAATACAAATCAAGAGTATGTTATCACACTTAACATTAAAACATTACGGAAAAATGACAACATAAAAAAAAGATTAACCCTTTTGTTGGTTTACTTTTAACAAATAAAACAATTGGACAACTTAAGACATACAAAATGATAAAAAAATACAAAAGAATTAATGACAAAATAAATTTTTATAAATACAATACACTTAAATATAAATATTATGATAAAAAAAATCTGTAAATTAAAAAAAAACTTAAGATAATAAAAATATACAAATGAAAAATTTTTATATTTTTATGATATTTAAAAGAAAAAAATCTAATACAAATCAAGAGTATGTTATCACACTTAACATTAAAACATTACGGAAAAATGACAACATAAAAAAAAGATTAACCCTTTTGTTGGTTTACTTTTAACAAATAAAACAACCAACAGTGAACTTAAAGGAAATGATTAATTATTGGTTTTATTTCTTATTTAAAATGCTTCCCAACTGCATTCCTCAAATCCAACTCTGTTGCTGCCGGGAAGCTGGTCATCACAGCATCTGCCAAATAAGAAAAAGAAGGGAAAAAAGCACAAGAAAAGCTTGACAATTTTTTACTTTAAATACACTAATTGTGACAGGGAGTCATTCTCTTTTGCTTGGATGCCTACTAAAAACAAAAATGAGATATATATATAGTGTATCACCATTCAGTGTGTTAAAAAAGAGAGCTCTCTGGTAAATGTTATGTGTTTTATACACATTCCTCACAGAACAGTGCAGTCTTTTCAAATGCCTCAAAACATTATTTGGATAATTGGTAAAAAAAAAAAAATTTAAATGTCTTAACCCTACTGTTAGACCTACCTGAAAAATTAAAAACCAATTTATTTAATTTAAAGGCCTGTCGTTATTTTTTATTTGTGCTATCATTATTAATTTCTTTATTTGTTCTTATTTTATTACTGACTGCTTACTTGTCATTTTTTATTAAATTCAAAGTTTGAAATCAAGCTATCTCGTGCTACTGCAAAAAAATTACCCCACTGTAAAATTTAAAAAACACTGAGTGAGCAAAAATTTGTGAGATAGCTAGTTATAATGGTAATTAAATAATGTTTACATATGTATAAAAGCCTACATTAAAATCTGTCATATAAATTGGTTTCCCTTAGAAATTAGCCTACTGATTGCCACCATTGATGGACAAAATTCTTTAATAATATTAAAAATATCTGTATGACATTATATTCTGCAGTTCTTCCCTGTTGTACCGAATATCTACTCTTTTCAAATTATCATATCGAAGTTATAAATTCAAATATTGTGAAAAAATTCATTTTGTAGGATGCCACAAGTTTGTTAAAATTTCCAAAGGGTGCCGCGACTAAAAAAAGGTTGGGAAACACTGCTCTAAAATATAATACAGATTGAGGTGCTTAACAATTGCGGACAAATTTTGACATTTCAAAATGACCAGTAAAGGAATTTTTTAATTTCTGATTTGCATTGTAACTTATTGAGTATTGACACCACAATGTTTGATTAATGTTGCACGTTTTTTAGTCTTTACCTGTCCAGCATCCTTCTGGCAGTCTTTGAGGTTTCTTCTTTCAATTCTGCCCAACTTTGACACCTGAATAACACATGCCAATGTCAGGCGGATAGTATTATATGCGTCCGTGTACAAGTGTTTACCAACCTTAAACATTGATGCCCATTGACCTGTAAGTTTTCCATCACTAATCCTTTAAAACTCTTTATTCCAGCAGTTTAAGTTTTTCCCTATTAGTGCCCCCCACAATCTGTCTCTGCCTCCAAAATTGTCTGGCACAACTGACTTTATAACAACAGTGATAGCTGCTGTAACTAAAAAAGTAGTCCAGTACACACATTAACCTCAAATGTACATGGAATAATAAATTCACTCCTACCGTTTTATTACATTGTTTTCTTTATTATGTTACTTGTACAATGACAAAGATATTTTATTAAATTAGCTCATGCTCTCTCTGTATCTAACACGCCATTGTTCAGTCATAAATTCAATATAATAATTAAAATAAATGATGGACTTTGTCAAAAATGAGAGCTTTAGTGAGGAAATGTTGTTTTGGATAGGTTTTTTTTGTTTGTTTTTGTTTTTTTACCATTGCTGCCCGGATCTTTTCAATTTCCAACCGCTTTTCCAGATGTTGAAACTCCTCCTCAGTGTGTACACTGTATAAATTAATATGGATTAATCTTTGTCAAAGCTGTGTTTGTTCTGTTGTTTGCTCTTTCGCCTCTTCTTGCGCTGTTTTAAAATCGATTGAGTTTGTAAACACGTTACAAATGATAAAACTTTTACTCTATTAAATTTTGCAAGTAATCCTCTGAACACATGCGTGCTGAACTGTGGGCCTAGTCACCGATCACTATCAACTACGATCTGCTCCCTTCACTAAAATGTCACGGTTCCTAAACATGATAATAAATAATATAGATAAATAATGAACACATGCCAAAACGAAAACAGATACTTACAAGACCAAGTAGGAATGTCCTTTATCATTTGTTTGCCCGCTGCTCTCCGACAAGTAAACTTAGTGCTCTCTCGTGTAAAAAGCAATTCAAAACACAACATTGATCTCTACTAACTCATGTCTCGCGTTGCCAGTAGTCATGTCTCAGTAGGGCTACAATTGCCATCTAGCGGTTGAGAATAATGATTTATTATGCCAAAAATAATGCTAATTTAAATGTTTCAAAAGTTTACTTGCATTTGATAAGAAGCTGCATAGGAGAAAATTACATGTAACAAATTTTAAGGCTTTTTTTGGCTATGCTCATGCTGGTATAGGGCTATAGCCAAGCCGTTAAAAATAGACCACAGATTGTCTCGATTTCGCCAGGTGGGCTAAAAGCAGACTACATGTAGCCCGTCCAATTTAGAGCTAAATCGTGGCTACATATAGACCGTGTCATAAAATTACACTTATATATTTGTAGATATTATTGACACTGCGAACATGATGGGATATCTACCATCTCATGCGCTGCCTGGCCAAAAACTACAGTGAATCAGGTTTGACTAAAACTGACTAGCCGCTCTGACTACGAGCTAAATCGTGGCTACGCACAGGTTAAGTATTGAACATGTCAAAGAAATGAAACCAAACACCTTGTAAACGCTGTTGACTTTGCTTACATGATGGAATATCATACATCTCACAAGTTATTTTGCCAAAAAACGACATGAAACCAAATTCAAGGTTATTTGGGCTAGACGTGGGTTACACATAGCCGGACTATATCGGGTCTATACTTAACCGAGACGTTGAAATGACGGCTATTGCTTGCTGGGTATTGGCTGTAGGACATTAGAAAGGTATTGGCAGTACTAGGACACATTAAAAAGAATATAGTGTTTTAACATGTCATGCCGCTTTTAACGTGGTCTTTCAAGTACCGATCAAATTTGACATGTAAAAAAAGCACTTTTAAAATACTTTTAAATGAAAACTATTGAGGAAAGGGAGTTTTCCTTAAGCCAATTCGTAACGAAGTGTTCTTTATAGTGTATGGGGTCTCCAACCCTGCTCCTACCATCCTGCAGTTTTGCTCCAGGGCCGTCGCATGCATATAGGCGAACTAGGCAGCCGCCTAGGGCGGCAGCACAGTCAGGGCGGCAAAAAGGAGAGGGAGGGTACCAACACCAAATGATCAGTGAGAGCAGAACGAATGTGTCACACGTTTTATACTCAACAAAATTGTGAAATACATATATCGAGCATGCTCACAGATGAGAACAAAACAGCGTTTGGATGAAGTGGATTAGAGCCCTGCACGGACCTCAAATATAGGCCCTAGCCCGTCTTTTTTTTCCCCTTTTCCCAAAAAAAGCTTATAGCTACTACTGTTACAGCAAAAATAGTTCCGTTTTGTATGTAATGGAAAAGTGATTATATTTCATTTAGTTTTCTTTATAAAGTTAATTTAGAAAAACTTTGGAGCATTTTTTGTTCGTTAAATTTAATTTTTTTTCTTTTTTTAAGTAATGGCCAGAGGTGGACAGTGAATTGATCATAGCCTATATGTTTGATCAATTTAGCCTTCCTAAAAATCATCACGACTCGCCTAAAATAAAATCTATATATACAACAGTTCAAGCATATCACAATGTTAGTTTAAAGGTTTGAACTAGATCAATGTGCGCGCTGTTAGACGCATATCCAATCGTTTGTGCGGAGAGTGGAAGCTGAAGCGCTCTGCAGGACATGGAGGTGCCAGCGCGATCACTTGCA